CTTCCAGCGGTATTTTAAAAGGGGCTTGTTGGGGAGCCAATGCCACGGCACACTGAGAGGCCACCTCCTCGTCTCCAAACTCAATCGCTTGGGCAAGGTGGAGTGCCAGATCCTCTGCAAAGGAGCAGAAAGAGAGAGCTGTAAAGCAGCAGCCAGCCTGCAAACACCCTCCTTGGGGCACAGGACAACTACTGCCACTCCTAACAGCAGCAAGCCTAGCACTGAGGGGGGTATGACCCTGCGCACACATCACAGCCTCATATCTGGCCAGAAATAACAATTTCTGGTCCAGACCAGGGGCCAGACAGTGCTGATGAGCACCAGAAAATTTGCAAAGCCCCTTCAGCAGTGTATTGCTATACAGCCGGGGTGCAGCCGAGAGAAGGAGCAGCCATGCTGCTCTCCTAGAGCACAGCTGGAGAAGTGCAGGTGGGAGCAACAGGGAATTTCTGGAGCCACCAGGAGTTTATTTTCTTCCCTTCTCACACAGCTTGGCTGAAGAGACGGTCCAGAGCAAGCCTCCAGATGGCTGGGGCACAGAGCACCCACCTCCGCCTTGGAGAAACTTTCTATCCCACTGCACAACAGGACCAGAATTTCACTCAGAAAGAGTTTATTGTCAGCCACAGATGGGGGAGCAGCTGGACCTGGATTTAAGCCCTAGGTGCCTGTGGAGGGTTGATAACTCCTAACCTATGTAAAGAGCCAAGACACCCTTCCCTCTCAAATACCTTTTTTAGTAAGCTCCGAGAACAAAGATTCCTCTGGATCCTGAGCTGCAGAGCTGCCTCCAGCAGCCATGGGCAGGGATGGGGTCTGGGACGCCAGCGTACTGCTGCTGTCAGAGGCTGAAGGAAAAGCAGGAATATATCAGAGCAGGGTAGTGCCACAGCTCTGAGCACTGCAGATAACCAACTGCCATCCCCAAGGAGCTCCACGCTCGCACTACAGGAGAAACATGCATCAGGAACTCCTGGGCTTTGCTTAGCTTGAAGCAAAGGTACCATCCACCGTCATCTGTGTCCCGAAGACTCACAGAGATCAGACAGCAGCATCAGCTGACAGCCCACCATCTCTATGAATTGTTTGCCTGCTGCTTTCCTGAGCCCCCAGGACCACTTTGATAAAAGCAGCAGAGACACACCATGCTCCTCGGGATCCTCAGATCTCCCTGGTGTTCCCTCTTTTTTCCTTCAAGCAAACAGCTTCCCTCCCCACGTGTGGCGCTGGCACGGTCACTTCTGTTCCCGTGTCACTGCCCACACCACCTCCTGTCTCCTGTGTGGCCCCCTCCAATGCTCCAAGCCACGCGCACGCTCTCCTAACATCTCCATCCAGTCCTGGTGTGCAGGAAGGACAGGTCAAAGCACCAGAGGAGGAGCCTGTCAACGTGTGTCTAGCCTGACCCACGCTCCATTTGCACCGACTCCGCTCACACAACTAGCTATGCCACAAAGGGCTACATCCCCTGCAAGGGACAGCTCCTTTTGGCTCCCAGAGTGGGCGGGCCTTGGGAAAACTTCCAAATCGCATGTGCTTCTACACTCAGCCCCTGCAGAGTCCCCGAAAACACGGACAGGCCCAGCCCCAGCTCATCTCTTACCTGCAGCCAGCACAGAGCTGCCTCCTGCAAAGGACAACCAAAAAAACATCTCCTTTCCTTAAGGAGCCTCCCTGGGAACACATCCCAGCTCCCAGCATTCCAGAGAACCAGAAGCAGCTGGTGTTGCACCCCTGAACGATTTCACAGCAGCACCAGTCGCAGCCTGCTGTCTCTCAACCTGCTCCACAACAGGTACGTTAGCTAACCCCCAGCAAGCTGCCAGGGCTGCGGAAGGCCTGGCAAAAGCCCCCAGAAACCCGACTGCCGGCACTGACCTTTCTGCACCTCCCGGAGGGAGCTGCTCACGATTGTCCACCACTTCTGCGCCTCCCGCTCTTCTTCAAAGTTAAACACCATGGGTTCGTCCAAGGACCCAAGGACTGTCAGCTCATGGCACATGGGGCTCTTCACTTTGTATGAAATATCCTTGAGGTCGTACTCAGCAATGGTCTGGGGAAAGCAGAACAAGAGGGTCACGCCAGGACTCAGCAGGGCTGAAGACGACGTACCTGGCAAAGAGACAACCCCACAGTGTGGTGCCTGGGCCAGGACTCAGGGGCATGAGTCAGTCCCTCTGCCTCACCTCCACAGATGGTCTCTCACAAGACGAGTGCCGATACATGCTACGCACTTGACAGAAATACAAATCAAGCCAAGAACAACCCTCAGTCCGCAGGCACAGAACCACAAACCCACCCAGCATGAAATGCTGGCACTCCACACCCAAGAGAGATGGCTACTAATGCAAGGCCTGCTTTCAAGTCCCTGCCTGCGGCTACACAAACCGCCCTATTTTTTGTGATCTTGTGTTCAGATCACATGCACGTCCTTCACGCCAGCCAGAGACTGCCACAGAAAACCAAAGGCTACAACCTGCTCATAGCCACCCAAACTAGTGTCCACCGGGCAATTAGCTCATTGGTGCCCCGCACCAGTGCAGATGTTTCTTCCAGGTGCACACCAGAACAAAACATATCTGGTTCCCATTTCTGTTCCCTCTGCTCTCTGCCTCTCTCAGATCAAACCGCAGGAGACATCTAAGAAGCCTTAGTCTCCAAAGTGGCCATGACAACAGGCTCTCAGGGGAAAACAATTCTTCTCCCCTCTACAAGCTTTGCAAAAACCCTTCCCACACAGGGAAGCTGGCCTTCCCTGCCCAGCTCCTCTCTGCTCTGTCAGCCCCAACTGAACTCTGGCTGCAGGAAGAGTCTCCGCAGAGCACCACGCACCCCAGGGCTGACAGACACCTCGCCCTCGGCCTGCCTCTGCCCCCCTCCTCCTTGGCTGACACTTATTTCAGGTTCAAGTGGGAACTTTCAGTTCTGCTTCTGGTAAAATGGCAGCTCCGGAAAACTGCGGTCTCTGCCGCCCGTGGAAAAGGCGCTCCGTACAGCCACCTGCTGTCGAGACGCGCAAAGGGGTCACAGTAGCTTTCGTGCAGACAGAAAGCAGGAAGCCCGGCAAGTGACACTTGTGTTACGCTATGCAAAAGTCATATCAAGGAGAGGGAGTTGAAAGGAAGTTAAACTGCTGGCTTCCTTTCCCTTGGTTCAGGTTTAATTTCCTGTTAGGTCTCCTCCCACGCGCTGCCCCTTCGTCCCATCACCAGAATTACAAACACAGAAAAAACGTGATAAGTGAATGTAAAGCCCACCCTGTCTGAGGCTGGGTATTTTCCGATAGTTAGAAGGTTAAAAGTCACTCAGAAAGGTAAAAGCAACCCCAGACCACTCTGTTTTCTGCGTCTTTCATGCACAAGTCCCACATGGGGGAAGGAATCAAAACAAGGAATGAATCAAATGTTTTCATCTGAAGAGCAGACTTGGGAAACGCACCTTGCCACAGCCAAATTACACGTCAGACAGAGCAAGGGATGACACTGACCCACGCAATCCCCAGTCAGACACGGCCTCCTATTGTTATCTGCCGGCTATTGTCCTAATCTGTTATGGAGAGATCCAGCCAGGAAATACCGTCTTCAGTTAGACAGGTGCCCTGGCATTGTACTGCTACCCTCTTCTCCGCTGCGAAACAGAGCCAACCCCCAGCTGCTCGATCTGGTCTCAGCAGCACCACCTCAGTTTTGCAAAGGGACGTCCAAAGGAAGCGACCCCTGCTCCCCAGCGACACGGAGCACGTCCTGGGCAGGGTCCCGGCCTTCCCGGTGGTGAAACACCACCGAGGGCAGAAAATCTGCCCTGCAAAGAGCAGATCGTTCCCACAAGTGCCCGCAGCTCAGCTGAGCCGTCAGAACGGGCGCGTGTCCAAACCGAGCGATTACAGGACGGTCCTTCCACATGCACTTCCCGCGGTTCGTGACACCCTGTCATGGAGTCCCTTCCTGGACAGGGCTGCCAGCCCTCCCGAGCAGGAAACGCTCTCCTTCCCCGGGCTACAGAGCCAGCGCACTGAGTGCTGCAACGAGCTGCAGCTCTCCACCATCGCTCCCATGTCTCTCTTCGAGCGGAGCCTGACGTTGCTGACAAAACCATATCAGAGAAGTGCAGCAAGTTGAAGAAGCAGAAGAGGACAGCCGCAGTTAGAGCCAGACAATTCTCCACCCTGCTGCACTTTTGAGATGCAGGGAAGGAAAAAGGTCTGTTGCAATAGGAGCACAGGTGAGACTCGAACGGGCTGCACCGGGGCAGGAAGTGGCTGTGCATCCGCAGGCGCTGCATGCCACTGCGGGTAGCTGCAGCCAAGGCTCCAGTTCATCTTTCAGCCTTCACGGAGCTGTTGAGCAAAGAGCACCAGGCTTTGGTGAGTTCCTCCCAAATGGAAGCTCCTCTCCTTACGCTCTAGTTCTTCCGTTTAAACTTTCCTAAGGGTGAGACGCACCTCTAGGTTCCAGTCTCTGCTTCTTTAACTACACAGGAAGAGAGGACATTGGACCCACAATTTCCTCCAACTCGCTCTCTATTGTAGGAGCTGCCCCAGTCCATGCAGCTCCCCAAGCACTGACCAGCTTCTCGGAGCGCCCCAAGGCCCATCCAGCTGTCCCAGGAGTCTTCCCCCTTGCAACAGGCATGCCCCAGGCAGAGCTCCCCTTCCCTCAGGGCCCACCTGGATCCCACGCAGAGTCCCCACGTCACACCCGGGCCGCAGCAGGCAGACGGCAACTCACAGCGGTGTGGCACAGCCCTGAGCCTGCCCCGGGAGGAGAACGCTCCTGCCCCAGCCCCACTAGCCTCCGGACAGAGCGGCTGCCCTTGGAGAGCCTCAGCCCGCAACACGAGTTACCGGAGTGTGTGGCGGGTTAACTCTCAGCTGTCAGAGCACCTCAGTCGCCCAAGAAGACCTTCCCCGCCCACAGCCCTCTCTACGGCAAGTTGTAAACGTGACATGGAACGTGCCCCGGGGGCATCCTCTCTGCTGCTGTCCCTGCTCACCCTCACACCCACCTCCCAGGCTTTGTCCCTGTCCGGGCAGCCCAGGAGGTTCACAGGACGCACGTACAAACAGCCAAGCCGCAGACGGGCTTTAATAAGAACATGCCAGCCAGCCTTAAGATTAACTGCCAGGGAGATCAGCTGATCTGAAAACCATTTGCCATGTGAGGACGCGCGCCTGAGCCAAGAGGACATTCACCTGACGTGAGCCACAGGGCACAAAACACTTGTTTCTAAAGGGCAGATGGGCTCACAGCAGCGCTCCTGTGAGCAAGGGGGACGGAGACAGGCTCGGCTGGTCTACCCTTACTCCTCACATTTCCACCTTGAGAGGGAAGGAAAGAGGAGTTTTTAAGCCCAAGATTCTACAGAGAAGGATTCTTAAGCGTTCCCCTCTAACGGGGATTTCCCTTGGTTCAGGTTTAATTTCCTTTTAGGTCTCCCCCACGTGCTGCCCCCTCGTCCCATCAGCAGAATTACAAAAACAGAAAAAAAGTTATGTCACTATGCTAGGATTGCTTTTCCCCTCGGTCTCCTCCATCTGCTCAGTGGTCATCTCCCTCTGCCTCATGGTGCTTCCCGTACATCCCGTTATCCGTCTGCGCCCCAGGGACCCACCTCCCCGGGTGGCCCCGTGGACACTGCCTCAGGCACGAACCTCACAGCCAGCTCTGGAAGTCACCTGCAACAGAACCATGAAACAGCTCCCTGATAAAAATCTAAACCAAGCTGAGCACTAACCAACAGGAGTGCCCACGGTGACGGTTAAGTAATCGGGGAGGGGGGGAGGCAGGAACCAAAACTGGAGTACAAACCAGAACCCATGCATCCTCCCCAGAAATACCATCGCTCTCCCTGCTCAGGATTTACGTGGCACTAATAGGACTTAAGCTGCAGCAAAGAGCAGCGCTGCATCTTGCCACTACTGCGGTGCCACTACCGACTAGTGAAGACATCAAAAAGCCTCCGTAGCCCAGCTCACCTTAGGGAACTTACCCAATGAAAGCCAAGAAGCCCTGGCCTTTGCGAGAAAAAGCTTCTACAGCAGTCCTCACGCAACTCAGCGGGGCCCACAGAGAGTCTGCTGCAAGCTGACGAGAAACACGGGGTTGAAGAGGAAGCGATGCAGAGGGAGATGAGCACAGGCTCACGGGGACAGTGCAAAGGAAAAAGCAGCTCCACTTTCTCCCCTTTCAAACAACGTCACCAATGCACTAGCCCCGGCGTGTTCATCACGAGAAGCACTGGAGGAAACAGCATGGTTATCTCCACTGCCTCCACGGGGATCTGCCCTCCCGCCCCGAGCAGCAAGCACGCCCACAACAGCGGGAGCAGTGACCAAGGAAGGGAAGGGGAGGAAAAGCGCTAAGAGATCACAAGGGTGGGCCGAGCAGTGGCTAAGCAGCACGGCCCAGAGGCGACGGGTCAGGAAGGCAGAGCTCTGGGACAGGAAAAAGGGTGTCCTGACCACCCTCCGCCGCCTCGGGAGCCAACCGCTCAGCTGAGCTACGTGGGGTGAGCAAACTGGGGGAAAACCAGCCAGGGGCACTTTGTCAGAAACGAGGCAGCAGTTAAATGGAACAGAGACCAGAGACCGCTCCGAGGTGGGGCATAGGACCCTCTACAGTGAGGCTTTGGAGCTCATCTAAAATGCAGTATAAATTTCCCAAGAACTCCTTGGGAAGCGCTAGCCCTAACACTTTCATTTCTCCTCCTGAGCTTAAGTACACAGCAACACACATTAAGAAACAAAACACCAATGTATCCAAAGAAACTACTTGTTTTCCTCTTCCCTGGAGAAAAGTGAAAAACTGAACACGTGCCAAAAGCTGATCAAGTCCTTTAACACACAGCTAGATAAGCACAGTACCAACAACAAAAGAGGGCAGTGTACTAGCATCCTGCATTGCTCACCCCCTTGGCCATGAGCTTCCAGGACCTCTCTGTGTTGGTCCCAGCTCTCACACGGTATAGCAGAAAAGCTGATGACTCCAACTGAAAATTAACGCTGCAAGGGAAAAGTTTCCAGCTGGATTAGCTCGCTGGACCAACGCAAAGCACAGGTCTCCCTGAACAATCCTGCCAGCACAAGGGGAGATGGGAGGACACAAGCAGGGGCGAGGAAAGGTGACGCTGTAGCTGAAAGGCTGCCCAGTTAGCTTAGTCTAGGGCTATCTTGAAGCTTCACCCAAAGAGATGGGTCTGCAAAAAAGAAGGGGAAAATCGCTGCTCTACTTTTTCACACCAGAAGCCTTCATCCTGATGTAGCCGTGGTTCCTCCTTTTAACATCTTCAGTGACCGAGCTGTACACTAGAAGTTAGACAGGTTATGGAGATGCCCGGTTAGACACCGCCTTATACTGCTGCCAGGAACTCCTTCCTGTCCCCCAAACACAAGCTTTCGCTGGCTCCCTTGTTATCTGCAGCGGATACATGGGTTTCTTCCAATAGGAGCTTTTTTGCACGAGTCACTTTATGCTGCCTCATCACTAGTTGATCACTAGGGCAGTCCTCAGCCACGCGGAGGTGGGGACGCACTGACCCTGTTTCAAGAGCAAAGACTCCCTGCTGCCCGTTATCTTCACAGCGGAACTGGACACACGTGCAAGGACTGGGGGTGAAAACAGTTGTGCAAGACCACAGCACGCCAGCCCTGAATGGGGGAAAACGCCGCGTGCTTCCAGCACCAGGGCAGCGCTCAGCAAAGCCACTTTCCGAAAGCCGCCCGTCCTGCTCCACGGCAACACCCACCACAGGACAAATGCGGCTTTCAAGGCCTGTTCGATCCTCGGCTTTGCTGCCGGCGGTGCCAACGCAGCGGGCAGTTAGTGCCGGCTTCGGTTCCTGCAACGGTGACGCCCGCTCCTCTGGGAGCCCGGCTGCCGCACGCACAGCCCCCGCCGAGCCCTGGGGCTGGCCACATCTGCCTGGAAACCCTCTTTTGGGACGAGCAACAAA